TCCTCCCCCAAGGACAGGCACCATACCTCTCATTCTACACCTTAGTCTTTGACCATTGGGCGCAACGAAGTAAGGCGGCTTTTTGGGGTACCAATGGAACTCATAACCGTCCTCCATGCACCTTCTTCCAACAGAGCAAACAGGAGGAGTACTTGCGAGAACGTAGAACTCTAGCTCTTTGCCAAACTCCGGGAAGTCGATCCTGACCGATTTGTCACCCTTGACATTTCCGTTAGCAGTGATGAGGTTTACTTGTCGAGTAGCATTGCCTATCGGCTCTTCGCCAAAGTACATAGCACGATCAGCTTCGCTGATGAGGTCCTCCTCGCTCCCCGTATCAGCAAGGAATTCTAAGGGCGTGGCGATTCCTGGACAGGCGATCTCTGAGCTCTCAACGACGTGCTTGCACATCCCACACATGAGAGAATCAGGCTCATCACATTCTAAACGGCAGTCGGTTCTCTCTCCCCCCTCATGCCGGGCAAGGAGCATAGTGAGTTCCCTTGCGTTCCTAATTGCAACCTGAAGGTCATTGTTGTCAGGTTTGGGGCAATTTTCCGCATCGGCATAGCAAGTGTTGTACCTGCGAACTTTGTAGGAATGCTTGTACCCCTTCCCTTCAAAAGGAATTTCCCTGACTTTGGGCTTTTCACAAAACTTGACCTTCTTGTTTTGTTCTTTGATTTTGAACACAGTCTTGCCAGTCCATGGCGTCTTGTCGTTCGTCCCCCCTTTTCCCCCTTTCCAATCCCAACTCTCCTTTGCTGTGTAGGGAGCAACGGGAAGAGTCTTGATCACCTTGGCCGTACCTTTCAACTTTTCAAGAGCAACAGGGCATGACATTTCAGGCTTGTACATAGTACTTCTGTAGTTCAGGTGGTGTCGGATGGCTTCACCCCTTTTGAAATCCACTTCCCAGTAGTCCTTCTCTCCATCTTGTGGGTCGTCTCCCTCGGGGCGGATTGAGGCTGCAGCCGCAATCGAGATGCTCTCCTGTCCTTTTCCTTAGAGCGACCACGGCTTGGCTTTCTGCGCGTTGGCGCAGGCGACGGAGACCTTGGTTTGTCCGGGTCCTTAGGAGCCGGGGCTGCATTTTCACCACCTGTGGGAGCAGGGCTCGGTTCCCTATGCAAGAAACGGCACTTGTCTCCCCTGGTACATTTGCCTTTCTTCCAAAACGTGCATACCTGTTTCTTCTTCGGGGCGGTGCGAACAGGGGACTGCGAGCGTGGTTTGTGCGAGAACTTGCGCTTGTCGCCCCTGGTACACTTACCCTTTTGAAAGTCGTAGCAAACTGGCTTTGGGCTTGGTGAACGGCTAGGTGATCTAGACCTGGACGGGGTCCTAGAGCGAGACCTTGACTTCGAGTTGGATTGGCTACCGGCAGAGCGGTCTCTTCCCCGGCCACTCCTTGACGGAGGGCGTTGCGGCCTTCCGCCTTCAAGAACAGGAGCTCCAAACTTATCCCCATGTGACTTAGCGATTCTATCCCTATTCTTGCGCATCCTTTCACGGGTTAGCAAATCCCGAATGGACTTCAACAAGAACGCGTAGGAATGTGAGGCAGAACCTTCCTTGGCCCTATCATAGATCTCCAAGTCGTATTTCATCCTTGAGGACTTGCGGATTTGTCGGAGAAGAATGTCACGCAGAACCATTTCTTCTGGAACATGACTCATACCGGCAATGACTGACTCCCAATTGTGCAGGAATGTAGTCAAGTCGTCACTATGCAGCGTAACCTTCAACAGGTCTTCCACTGAATAGAGCGATCCTACTTCTTCATTGGTTTTGAAATACTGATCAAACATAAGCAACACTTGGCGTCCTCGTACCGCACGTCCATGGACCGCCTCGGTTTCTTTGAAGGTGAGCACCTGTCGAGACAACTCTCCCTTGGCGACCTTGGTAAGCGCGGCTAGGATTTTGGTATCCAGCGTGAGGAACTTTCCCGGTTCACGAAGCTTGTCATGATCAGCGTCTTTTGCGTAAACCTCCAAAATCCAGGAGAAAGCTTCATCAGGTCTGTCTGAAGCTGCCCTAACCGCTTCCCGAGTTGCTGTTTTCCATGCACGGTACGTTTCGGGGTTAGGGAAATCTGGCAAACGAATGTTTTCAGCTTCTTTGACCTTTGGTTTGTCATCCTCGCCGCTTTTATCTCCTTTAAGGAGCTTGGCGGCTTCCAGCAACGCTTGTTGCGTCTGTGCAATTAAATCAACTCCAGTGGCTGCCGGACTAGCCGGCGTGCCCATTGGGGCCGCGAGACCAGAAACTCCTCCACCTAAGCCAGTCGGGGGCACAGGGGTTCCCGGGGCTTGTGTTGGAGCTTGTGGCCCCGCTGGTGTGGCAGTAGTTGCCGCACCACCAAAACCGGAAAACATTGCTCTTAGGCTGAGCGGGATCACGCTTGGCGATGTAAACTGAGGAGCTGTCGGCACATTAAGGCCGGCACTTTGCGGTACCGTTGCTGGGGTCACGGCCGGAGGGAACTGAGCTTGGGACGCAGTGTCCTGAGAAGCATTCCTGTCCTGCTCGAGTTTGAGCGCACGCTCAGCTGAGGAGAGTTCGTCCTGAAGAACATCATTTTGACGCCTCATTTCCTCTTCACTCTCGCGGGCAAGTAACCTATACTGCTGCATTGCCTGATCATGTTCCCTACCAAACCACTCTCCCACCTCATTGAGGGTTTGTGTTTTGTTCTCCTCTGCTTCTTCGATTAAAGTTGTTCGAAGTTGCGTGATCTGCGAACTAACGCTGGAAAAATGTTCCGTTTGGAAAGCGATGACTTGGTGTTGTTGTCGCAGCTCCGACACGAGATGGTGATTGGCTTCGATAAACTGATATCGTTGTGTGGCAATCTCGGATTCGAGCTGTGCAACGATCTCCTCATGCTGTCGATTTGCTCGTTCTTCAACATTAGCGATTCTTTGATCATGAGCATATTCGGCAGCCTGGCGGAACCTCTGGTGTCTGTTTTCTGCTTCAGTTTCAAGTTCACCGAGAAGCGATCTGGTTTGTTCCGGAGATTCACCGATCATGATGCTTTGCTGGAAATTCTGTCGATACATATGCAACTGTGGTGCGAACGGTACAGTTGCAAAAGGAGTTCGGGCGTTTGGATCAAACACATTAGTGCCTGCTGCGCCCTCTTCCAGTGCACCGTTCGAAGCAACTTGCTCGGAAGCAGTCTGGGGTAGTCCCACAGGAAGCATGTCGTCAGATTCCAGGTCGGTTGCCACTTCGGTGGGAACCAGCTCGGGGCTGTCTCCCATACACCAGTGTTTGCCAGAGTAACCAGAGGCGCCGCAGACTCAGTAGAGCCTACGGCTGATAACCTATAGTTTGGGAAATCCACCAATGCAATCCGTTAAGCCATGAAACACAGGCGCACTTCTACCTTTTTGTCTCAGAGGGCTTGAGTGCGATAGGTGCAACATACATGAAGGCAAAAGTGGCAAGGAGGTCCGAATATAAAATACAAACCCTAAACCCTAAACCCTAAACCCTAAACCCTAAACCTTCTTCAGCTCAGGGCCGCTGAACGGTGAACGTGAACCCTAAACACAAGCTGCAGAGGCCCCTGAGTTGCACCTGGCGTTGTCATGCTTGGGCCAGAATTCTGGCCAGAAACTTCGGGTTTAGGGTTTAGGGTTTAGGGTTCAGGGTTTAGGGTTTAGGGTTTAGGGTTTAGGGTTTAGGCCTTCATTGTCGTTCGTGACGGGCTCCGCTTTTGCATGACTACTTGCGGTTCTTTTGTCGCGCTTCGGCGGGCCCTTGGGACTTGCCAAGGTGCCGGGTGTCATGTGCGTGGGGCCATGCATGAGACTATGACAATTAGGATTCCGTTGTAGGTGCACTTCATATTGGGGGGTTTCCGAAATTAGATAGAGGTACCTTTTTGGCGTCCTTATCATAAGGGAGTCCTACTATTTGGGGGTATATATTGGGGGTCCCTTATTTTCGTAAACTCCTCGTTTAAGGTTGCAAGGGGATTGGGACCCTAATTTGGCAGCACACCCCGCTGCCCTGATTTGTCCTTCTTTGCTTGGATGTTCATGGGTAGTTACAAGTAGGGTATCGATCGTAGGGTTAGAAGCACCCTACATGGGGCCATAAGTATAGTTACTTTGAACTACCCATGAACCTCTCCAAGTAGTATAGCCCTCAACCCTCAACCCTCAACCCTCAACCCTCAACCCTAAACCCTAACCCTAACCCTAAACCCTAACCAGGCCTGAACTCGCGATCTTCTGGCCGCGGTGTGGGCGGCTCGTGGTTGCCGAGCTTCGGCTGCAGCGCGACGTCGCGCTCGGGGCTGAGAAAGCTGGCCCCAAGCTCCTGGTAGGCATACTCATGGGTTTAGGGTTTAGGGTTTAGGGTTTAGGGTTTAGGTGCATCTGTGCTTCGGTTTTCAAGGGGTTCCCATATAGGAGCTTTAGGATCCAAGTATAGACGACATAGACATGGATCCTTAGGGTTCAAGGGTGTAGGGTTTTTGTTTGCCACCCGCTTAGCTGACCTCTCGGACACTCTGCAGGGAAATGGCGATACATATCTTGGGGGGTCCTCATCTCAGCTGAGTTCGTCTCCACACCAAACGCCAGCTGAGCTTGTCTCCAAACCCAGCTGGTGTTTGGTGTGGAGACCATCTGATGAGGTGTAGGGTTTAAGGTTTAGGGTAACCCAGGGACTGCAATACCCCCTGAATTAAGGAAGATTCCTTAAACCATAGTAAGGGTTCCGCCCTCCCCCCCCCCCCCCCCCCCCCCCCGCCCAATGAAAACAAAAACAAAACAAAACAAATCAACATTTCTTTGTTGTATCCACAATGAAAACCAGGGCCCTGGCGATCTCATGGCGCAAGTTCGTGTAAAGCCCTGGAACCCTAAACCCTTTTGCAACTGGACTCCTTGCTGCCAGGATGCCGAAACTCTTCTTAGAAGAGTCGATGAGTACAGGAAAAGCAAGCACTCGCACTGCAGCCAGTGCAGGCTTTCACATCAATCTTGAAGGGTAGCAATTTTACGTATATATCTCTCAGGTATGACATTGAAGGTGAGAAGTATCTGACACTGTTCTTGCAAAACATCAGCGACTCGATGCAATGTTGGTAAGTGAGCCTCCAGCTGTGTCTCTGCCAAGGCACAATGCAGCAGGAAATACGGATGCAGCATACGCACTGTAATGGCAAAATGATACAGGCCCATCTGCAGGTCATCACACAAGGTCCAAGTCTGCAAGCCCTGTTCATTATCAATCCAGACAAGTACAAAACCCTGCTCTCCCACACAGAGCGTACACGTGAAAAGCCAAACTGCATGCTGCAATACATAATCCTGCCATCGAGGAAAGAGGCCCGAATTGACGCGACTATGGAGCTGAGCCAGAGCCTGTTGTTCAAAGAAGCAGGCTCCACGCAACTTCCATGCCAGGCGGTCGGCAGCCAGCGCAAATATCTCCACCGGAGAGACGACTGCATTAAAAGCTTTGGCAGCACAACGCAGGAGCCAATCCAGCGGGGAGTTCGGGAAGCCACCTTGTGGCCGCCGCATTCTGATCATTGAACTGACAGCTGCCCGCACCGGCGCTTCAGGCGGTCTTCGCAAGACATGGCCGAAGTAGTTCCAGAAACGCAGCTGCCACTGAAAAGTCCATGTTTGGGGTATCTTGTCATTGAGGAAGAGGTATACAGCACGTTTGCGAAGTCTATGCAAGACCATGGCCTGCGGTTTCTGGAGCAAGGTGGGTATGTGCAGCTGCAGCAGGGTTTGCAACGCAGTAGCTTGCAGGGTACGAATGCTATCAAGTGCATGCACGGTAGGAGGAACGACAGGTGAAGCCCAGAGCCATTTACTTCCGATGTAACGGTTTAGGATGGTCAAGGCCAAATTGGGCTGTAACCAATTGAGGCCACGAAGTACTGGGAGCATCTGCTGCAAACCGTGATGCACACTACGCACGAAAAAGGGTTGCCAAAGATGCCACAGATTCTCGCCAACACGTAGATGCCTCAATGGCTTGCGCAAGTACTGAGTAAGATCAACCCACGGCACTTTGGACAACACATGGTCCGCAGGCAGAACCAGCTCACGACCCGCTGCAAGCGTAGCAGGAGAAGCCATGAGCTGTGTTTTGGTCAAGTTAAACGCAAGACCGACAGCTGACAAAGCATCCTGTATCCTTGGAAGGAGTTTGATGGCAGTATTCCAGTCATCAAAATGCAGCAAGAGGTCGTCAATGAAAAGCCACCCCCAATCCCCTACCACAGAGTCAAAACCATCAGCACGACATCGTTGGAACTCCTGTTGCAAAAGATGGCCTATGATGAAGCTGAACACGCCAGAACTGTAGGTGTGACCCTGTTGCACACCCTGGGCCTGGCTGACTTCCCACTGTACCCCTTTCCATGCAAACACCAACTGTGGCTGCAGCACAACTCGCAGAAGTTGCAAAGCTTCGCGTGCCAGATGCGAGGGTGTCGACGCGGAGATCCACCGAGCTACTGCAACATGCCGCAATGAATCAAACGCAGACCTGATATCAGCATTAACCATATTCTGTGTTGGTTAAGAACGCCCTCATTGTAGACCATCCAGTGTGCAGTGGCAAGGGCATCAAGGACCTGGCTACCTGCAACACCCCCACACTGACACGGAGGAGTTGACCACGATGCAACCAACCTCCGTAAGAGAATGTGGCAATACAATTTGTTGCATGCCTCAATTAGGTTTTATAGGGCGGATGTCCGTTGGGGCAGCGACCTGGGCAACCTTTGGGATGAGAAGTACAAAAGCACGATAGAGGCCCTGCGGGTGTTGGGAAGCAGTGAAAAGGTTGTTGAGGAACTGTCTGAGAATAATCCTTCCATCTTCAACGCCCCACATTGCCACTAACAATTCATAGGTAATACCAGAAAGACCTGAGGTTTTACCAGATTTGCCTTTGTTGAGTGCTTCCTGGATCTCCGCATCGGTAAACTCTGCAAGCATGTGCGCACCGGACTCCAACTGCAAGGACTCGAGTATACCCTGAATCTCTTGGCGCTGTTCCTGTGGGACATCAGAGTGGAAAAGAGTGTCAAAGTGACGCTTGACCCTAGCAGCTGCTTCTCCGAGTCCTCCGGAGTCTTTGACAAGGGGTTGAAAGTCACCATGAGGTTTGAGCCTTGCTCTCAAGTAGCTAATAGCGTGAGCATCGCCAGAAGCGGCATCATCCTCAAGGGACTGGAGCCACAGCAGTCGTTCCGCCCGACGTTTTGCAAGGATAGCTCTCGTGAGTTCAAGCCGTTTGTCAAGATCAGTGCAGAAACGACGTTGGTGACAGAGATCCTTCAGGTAGGGGCTGTCTCTATACTTCTTGGATGGGGTGTTGTACGAAGAAGCTTGTTGAAGGGACTGCAGGCACTCCCACTGACCCTGGAGAGTAAGGGTTTCAAAGGAGGGCCGCACGACAGCCAGGCATTCAGGCAAATTAGAACCAGCGAGCCACTTAGCACATCGTGCCCTGGCTTTCGGCTTGCGACGTTTGGTCCTTTTAGGAGCAGCCGCACCAAGGTGCAAGGCCAGCGTGACTCGATCATGATCAGACTGAATGTCATGCCGGGATCCACAATGCACCAAGAGCTGATTCTGACCAACAGGCGTAGACACAGTCTGGGACTTTAAAGCACGGCTGATGTAAGCCTAAACCCTAAACCCTAAACCCTAAACCCTAAACCCTAAACCCTAAAATGCACTGCCCCGGCTCCAAGAGCCATGGGTTCCCCCTACGACCCCCCCTGTATAGTACAGTACCGCCCCTAGGTTCCCCTGTAATTAGGGCCATTGAGGGATAATGCTATCAATTCCCCTGTAATTAATATAAGGCTACTAAGGGATAAGGTTATTTCAGGGTGAAGCCTAGGGGGGAGGGGTCTCTAAACCACAGTACCGCCTCTAGGTTCCCCCGTAATTTAAGGCCATTTCGGGATCATGTTATTTGAGGGTGAAACCTAGGGGGGGGGGGGGTACTTTGGAGTAGGGGAACTCATGACAGAGGGTACTTCGGAACATGGGGGGGTCGTCCTCGACAGCCTCCACATGCTGAGAGCGCCATCCCAGATCCTCGAGCTGGGGTTCGGGGTTTGTGTTATAATGTTAGTCTTTTGAATATTCATGTGAATATTTATTATGCTGCTATGAAAATTTTATTAAGTGCTAGGAATGCTTCTGCAAGTTGTACAGGAAAGGCTGACGCGAGACATCCCTAAACCCTAAACCCTAAACCCTAATATGACCCTAAAACCCTAAACCGAAGAGCCTTGAGCTTGCTTTGCGTCAGGAAGGTCGCGGTGCCGCTCAAGACCAGGAGCAGTGCGGCCTGAAGAGAATTCAGAGACCGCACCTGGGGTTTGGGGTTTGGGGTTTAGGGTTTGGGGTTTAGGGTTTAAGGTTTGGGGTTTGGGGTTTAGGGTTTGGGGTTTAGGGTTTAGGGCTTGGGGTGAAGATTCCATAACATATCTTCGAGATCCTCAGATGACTTAGTGATACTCCTCTGCTAAGAGGAAGACGTAAACTCCGGGGTTCACCCGACCCCTCTCTCTTCAAAGTAGACATACTCACTTGGGGTTGAGGGTTTTGGATTCAGGGTCGAGGGCTCAGGGGAGGGAGGGGGAAGGAGAAACTAGGGCCTTGGGAGGTTTATAGGGCCTGTTGACACCCATCCACCCAGATGTAAAGGGAAGATTCGCAGAGAGAGAGAGAGAGAGGCTGAACCCTAAACCCTAAACCCTAAACCCTAAATTGAGGGGTACGAGGCACCGTGAGAAGGATTCGCCAGCGGCAGGAGCCAACACTTCGCGAACCGTGCTTGGCCATGGGAGCGTTGGTGTCTCTGCCAGTCTCTTGAACTGCTCAGGTTGATTTTAGGGTTTTTTTGCCGCCTGTCGAACTGGTTCGTGAAGCTTTGGGTTGGGGCTTGCAGGGATGTCCATGAACCAATGAAACCTCAACATCATCTTTGAGTGACATATTCCAGCAATCCCTAAACAAAAGCCTCTTCAGATCCAGGTAAGGCTTGGACGTCCTGCATGTCATGGTGAAGGCAAACAAACCGACAACGCTGCAACTACCTGGTGCGCGCACGACTTCTTCTCGTCACTCGGCGGCTGTGGTTGTCTCTATGTCCGGCACGTCTTGCCACATCTTGGGGCGCATGCACGGCGTTCAGAGCGGAAGCCACGCCTGCTGGCCCAAATTCATCCAGAAAAGTCCGAATCAGAGAGATGTGCATGGCTTCGTGAGCACTCTTGTGGTGCATATCTTGCGAACCCACTCGATGGCTCACATCTGTGGAGCAGTGGGCCCCAGTGTGCTGACAAGACAAGCGCCTCCGAAGCTGTCGGTACTTGGAGGTTCATGGGACTTAATAACCACTTATAACTGGGCTTTTATAACCCTACTTAGAATAGGGATAGCCCCTATAAGGCGCCCTTTAGGCCTTTAGGGGTATTATAAGTGGGGTTCTAAGTACAGTTATAATTGGCTAGTAAGTACCATGAACCTCCGAGTACCTTCCTCCCAGAGACTCCAGGAGACTTGGTTGCTCTTTAGGCCCCCCAATAAAAGTTTAACGTTTAGCGCCCTTAATATGAACCTAGAAGAACCCCAAAACTCATAAAGTGATAAAACTGTAGTAAGGTCCCACTTAGGATAGGGAAACTACCTTAAACTGCAACAAGGCTCGCAAGCGCATAGACAATCTCGAGGTAAGGTGTGTTGGAGTTTCTGGAGCGTCTACCTCCAACAAAACAATGGCTTCGGACAGAAGCAGCTGCCAGGCTACAGTCGCACACAAGATGCTGGCAGCCCAGCTCCTGCGCCGCAACGCAGCCGGCACTTAAAAGATTTACAGCAATCAAGCAAACGAGAATCCGTTTTTTGGCAACAACTAGTAGAACCCCTAAACCCTAAACCCTAAACCCAGTAAACCCAGTAAACCCAGTAAACCCTGATCCTCTCATGGGAAACCAGAGTGCTGCACTTCTTGCAACACATAAGTGTGCGGAAGGGACAGACCGGGGTGCAAAGCTCTGAAGCCAGCAGATCGCAGGGTTTAGGGTTTAGGGAGGACTGAAGAGAGCCCGAAATCAGACAACAAGCAAGTCTACAGATGAAATCCAACTTCTGTGGAGTGGAATTAGGGTTTCGGTTTAGGGTTTAGGGTTTAGGGTTTAGAGCTTCAGGGCTTAAGGTTTAGACCTGCACAAACCCCTTTGACTGGAGGAAAAAGTCTGGTGCCTTGAGGTCCGGGCCAACGCCGGATGCAATCTGCCGAATCAGTCCGAGCACCCAAAAAATACCCCAAATTTCCTAAATGTCCTAAACTAAGCTCCCCTAAACCCTAAACCTAAATCCTAGTCCCCTAAACTCCCCTAAACACCTCAACCTCGCCTAAACTCTCCTGAAGTCCCCCTAGCTCCCTAAAGCCTAGCTCCCTAAAGCCTACGCCCTACACCTTTGACTGGCCGAAAAGTCGGCGAAAGTCTGCATTCGAGACCATGCCGGCCACCGGGGCGTTGTAGAGGTCCCAGTGCGATCCTCGGGCGGGTCAGCCTACAAGTTCAAATTGCTGACTTTCCTAGTGGAGCTGAAGAAAACAAAACCCCATTATAACCCTAAACCCTAAACACCCCTTTCTTGCAAGGCGCGCTTGGCCACCTTCGTTAGCCATTCGATCAGCACCTCGCGGGTCACCTGGGTGGGTGGGGGATTCGGTACACAAGGGTTTAGGGTTTAGGGTTTAGGGTTTAGGGTTTAGGGTGCGTATACCCCCTCCCTTTCTCGGGATAACCATGTTTCCACATTGCTCTCCCCTTTTCCCACTGGACTGAAAGCGCTTGAGCGAAGCAACGTAAAAGACTGCAAGGCGTTGCGCGACTTCGCAGCAGCACAAATTGAAGCCCTGACACATGAGACAAAGTGCCACAAGGCTACCGGCGACAATGGTACTATTCTAGTTTAAGAAGCCCCCAGCCCTAATCCCTAACGTCTTCAAGCCGCAAACCCTAAAGGCTAATCCCTGCAAAGCCTAAACCCTAATCCCTGCAATCAAACCCTGCACGCCTAATCCCTGCAAGCCTCAAACCCTTTTGAACCCATGCCCAACCCTAATCCCTGTAAGCCCTAGACCCCAAACCCGAATCACTGTGACCCCCCAAACCCTCAAACCAAACCCTAATCCCTGTACACCCTAAACCCCAAACCCTCATCCCTGCAAGCCCTAAACCCTAAACCCTAAACCCAAAGTCCTAAGCCCTAAGCCCTAACCCTAAACCCTAAACCCTAAACCCGAAACCATAAAACACTGCAAGCCCTAAACCTTCATCCCTGTAAGCTCGGCTTGGGGTTTACAGGGCTTAGGGTGTTTAGGGTTTAGGGTTTAGGGTTTAGGGTTTAGGGTTCAGGGTTCAGGGTTCAGGCTTTAGCTCCCTTGTCGAGTTGCAGGACCTTTCAACGCATTCTCCACGGCTGAGTGGACCTCCTGGAGTGTCAGGTCCTGGTTCAGGGTTCAGGGTTCAGGTTTCAGGGTTCAGGTTCAGGGTTTGGGGTTTAGGGTTTAGGGTTTCGGGTTTAGGGTTTAGGGTTCAGGTTTCAGGGTTCAGGTTCAGGGTTTGGGGTTTAGGGTTTGGGGTTTAGGGTTTGGGGCTTCTTGGAGGTTCATGGGGAGTTAGAAGTAGGGTCAGAGCTATGGTGGCTATACTTATAACCCTACTCAGGGGCCTCATCACACTACTTTGAACTACCCTAAACCCTAAACCCGAAACCCTAAACCCTAAAGCGCGTGAACCTCCAAGTAATGATGGAATTCTACCTTAAATGACTTCCGAGGATGCCAAAATGATGTCAGGTGTTTAGGGTTTAGGGTTTAGGGTTAGGGCTTTCTGAGTGCATTGGGCTCTGGGGCCACAGTGGAGATTTTGGGTTTGGGATTCGTGGTCGGCTGCGTCGGGCAAGTTAGATCTCTTGTAAATCCTCCTGCACACCTTGACGAACTGCATCACAGGCAATATTTTTGTTTTACCCCAGCACTACCCCTGCGGGTGAGGGCTTAGGGTTACGAGGGTTCAGGGCATGGGGAACACCCTAAACCCTAAACCCTGATTACTGCAGGCTCAAATATATATAGGGGGGCCTCTCTAAATTTAGAATGTGAATTTGCGTGGATTCTGATTCTATAGGGATTGAAGGGCTCCTGCAGCAACCCACTGCCAAGCCATCGACTACAGGTCGCAGGCGCGTGGAGTGGGAAGCACACGCATTAACCGTCTGAACCCACCAAATAGGGGACAAGTTGCGTTCGCTGGGTCAATCTCCAACTTCTCCAGCCTTGCGTAAACACTCAAGTTGGCTGATGTCGAAGCTGCATTGCATACTTCGTTCCTGATTCCGGTCAGACCTGAAGCCAAAACCCTACTTTCGTGTAACTGGCCTTCTTTTTGTTCAAGCTGGAATTGCTTACGGCCCCTGGCAACCCAACCCTGATTGAACCCTGAACCTTGGGATGTTCCCCCATATACTATAGCAGCCCTTAATAGGGATTATAGTACTCCCCCCCCCCCCCCCCCAGCTGTTTGACAAGGGGGGAACATACCAACCTAAACCCTAAACCCTAAACCCTAAGCCAGAAGCTCTCCCAATCCCCAGGCCAAGCAGCAGCTTGTCGTACAAGCGCTGTTCCCGTTCACCTGGGGTTCTGTTTATTGTCCAATAGTAGGATTCCCTTGTAAGGGTTTAGGGTTTAGGGTTTAGGGTTTCGGGTTTCGGGTTTCGGGTGTAGGGCTCCCTTATTATAGGGACCCCAATAAAAGGTGCCCCAAATTTCGGAAATCTCCGGGGCTCGGAAGGGAGTCGAAGATCCCCTCATATCTCGAAGACCTACGTAGTTGTACGTAGGGTACTTGGAGAAGAGAAGGTTAGGGGTCCGGGGGTTTAGGGTTTAGGCTTGTTGAAGAAGGGTCCAGTCAGCGATCGCTTCAGCGCAGAGTCATGCGACATCAGTGGTGCTGACCTCACTTAGGAAACTGGCATTAAAACCACCTGCCTCCCCTTAACCCTAAACCATAAAACCAAAACCCAAAACCCTAACCCCCTGACCCTCCCCCGCTCCCCAAAAACATCCCAATTCTGCGCCGAGAGGCCCTTGACCACAGCGACGGCGGCAGAGAACTCCTGAAAATCCTTGCTATGGGAGCCCATAACTCCAAAAGAAACGTTTACCCTAAACATCTAAGCTAGATATACATAGACCTATACATATATGTATATATATATATATATACAAATATGTGGAACTGTGTTATATATCTATATACATACATACAGGGAGCTCTTTCTTATGTTCTAGATCTTACACACACATACATACATACATATATATATATATATCAGGACCCTTAAATAAATGCGTCAATGATTCGTGCGGTAGTCCTGAATTGTGCTCTGGGGCGAGCCAGCCGCAACAAGAGCCGCATTAAATAGGCGTACATTCCAAAGAGTGGTGATTCGAACAGCGTCAACCCCCTCGCAGCAGAAGCTTTCACGGAAAAAGGCCACGCCCAAACCAGCATCCGAGGAACACATGCAACCCTATAAGATGGCCCAAGGAGGGTGCCTCACGAATAAGTGCAAAAAATCCCTTGGGCAAGCGTCTAATCGGCCAGACTGGTCCGTGTCCATTGCAGATGCGACCCGCAAGCCGTGCTCACGCTCGATGCCAAGCACCTCCTTCGCGCTCTTCTACTGTTTTGCTTAAGAACCCCAAAAGAACAGAAAGTAATAATCCCTATATTACCCTTAATAAGGAATGTTTATTTTAT